TTGATGTCACTGAAGCTAAAGAATACATTGAACAGTACAAGACAACACTAGAACAATCCTGTCAGTCAATGTCAATTGATCTTTGCTTGAAGGAGAAGTTTGATGCTGTCAATACAAGCCCTTCTCTTAAATGTGAAACAGCAACTTACGTCTTTGACTGGAGACCTGATGAGAAGAAATTGAAGGATATTACCGACATTCTTTCCAAAACGTCTGGTAAATTTGTAAAGATAAAGTATATTGATACTGGATACTCCATTGTGGTCACTTGCTCCTTCCCTCACTCTCTCACTGGTGCTCTCATTATAAAATTGAGTGAGAATCTTGAATTATTAATAAAGAATGGTCTAATGAAGCTTACTGTTGGATACTGCACTATATGGAAGAAACAAAAGATACAAGTATGTGTATATATACCGTTAGTAATTATCATTATAATACTGTATTATAAAGGAAATGCAGGAACCACTGGAAGAGGAGGTACAGGAGATAAAGGAACAACCTCATGATACAAAGGTATAATAATTTGTGTTTGATTATTTTATTAAACTAACTTAATAGGAAGAAAGAGTAGCAAAACTGGAGGAGAAAAAAACAGAAGGAGCAACACCTCAATCAGTAATTAATCAAGGTATAATAATACATTGATGTAATAGTTGTTGACCAGTATTATTAATTGATGAACAATTATTATAATATTTCAGATATACTATCAATTGATACAAGTGTGACAATAATTAATAAGCAATTAATAAAAGAAATGAAAACAAACAAACAATTAGATGAAACACTAACAAGTAAGTGTTATAAAACTTTATCATTTATAATCAAATAATGGTAGAAATGAAAGTAAAGGGGCTTCAACAACTTTTGTCTTTAGGAACAAATTCTAGTTTAGGTTAGGATAATTAATTATAGTATTATTATCATTTTTATTAATTATAGTTTCATACAGAATTAGAAGAGGCATGAGAATGGAAATAGAACAATTGCAATTATTATTAACAAATAAAACTGGTACTGAATCATAACGTATGTATTAGTGTACTATAACTATGCTGTGATAGGTTTACTGGATCAGAGTAAATTATTAATAGATATTAAGAGAGAAATAGCTGAACTACAAGAAGAGATATCAATAATGAGTGTACATATACTAAATAAAAGAGAAGAGAACAAAAAATATAGAAATATATTAAGAAGTATGTGTATTTTATTAACTGATTAATTATTGTAATACTGGTACTCTTGGTAATATAGTGAATAAACCAACAGAAGAATCTGTTTTTATTGCTCGTTATCACTATCATGCAACAATGAGTGGTCGAATATCATTCAGTGAGGGAGAGCAGCTGGAGATATATGAGAAGGAGGATAGTTTTTATTGGAAAGGAAGATCTTTGGTGTCTGGTGATGAGGGAGTCATTCCTAGTAGTTGTGTTTATTCAATGTCAGAGTCACTTCAATTGTTAAAGTTTATACTGTCAATTGAAGAAGTATCCCTTCCTATTCTACAGAAGATAAGGGATAATTCATGTAGTAATGATGAGAAAGCTTCTCTTTTCTTGGAGATTATTAATGATGATCCTATTATGATATCTGCACTAAGACAAGACAAGAAACAGCATGATAAAAGTAATATTTGTGATTATTGTGACAGTCAGTACAAGTATGAACATGTACATGTACCAGTATACATGTATATTGTACATGTAATGTGATGTGGACATAATACTGCATACTTATGGATTGTGTATCACTAAGTTTTACTTCAAATTTTACTCTGCACATACATGCTACATTATAACAAAAACACACCTTCACATAATACAGTAAGTCAGTGACAACTACTAGCTGTGTCTGTATATTTCTTTATGCAAGTTGTGTGTGTTTGTACATGCATGTACAAAAATGGGAATATGTGTATAATTATATATATACATGTAATATGTAAATTTGGGTTTGAGGTGGGTATCAGTAATGTAAGACCAGAGCCCTAAGATGTCTTCCCGAGGCCCAAAGCTGAGGACACACCTTGAGGGGCTGAGGTCTTACAATACACCAATACTCACCGAGAAGCCATGGTTTATATAATATGTTAAACATGTTATATTGCATGTATATAAGTATATAATCCTATTAGGGGTCACTGGGAGAGTGAAATGGGACAGTGACAGGGTAACCCTTTACTCTCCATCTCCAGTTCAGTGTAATGACGCGATTAGTAATATTAATAATAATCGTAAGAAGATTGACCTCCGCTCCTCATCTACTATTGGTACAGTATCTCTACTATCATCAACTAAACTGCATACATTAAACCTGAGGAGACTTGAGATATGGTTGACTCCATTAACTAATGATTGTATCCAGTACTTGTGTACACTACTAACTAATAATGAAACGATACAAGAACTAGTCATCAATGGCCACTCGATTAGTGATAGAGGAGTTATTAATATCTGTCAAGCACTTGAACACAACTTTAGACTTACCTCATTAGATCTTTCTAATAATCCACTCATCACTTGTACTAGTGGACAGGCCCTTTCTCACCTCCTCCTCAATAACTCATTTCTAGTTAAACTGAATCTAAGGGAAACTTCATTATCTACTGAGTCAATACTACTCATCCTCCAGTCATTATGTTATAATAATAATATAAGGAGATTTATACTAGATGAGCGACACAAAGAGACTTGTATTAATATTTATCCTAACTATCACCTCATACATGACAGAGTCCGCTGGTGGCCATACTGATCACTCTTTATGTGAACTAATTAATTATCTCTTGATACAACAATTATTGCTCAAATTAAGTCAGTTCATTTTCACCAATAGGCAACCAATCAGAATACACTGCTTTACATGGTAAAAGGTGGACCAGTGACACTTTACATTATCATAAATCTAACACATGAACATCTCTTGATCTCTCATCAATCTCTCTCTCTCTCTCTCTCTCCTTCTCCAGTTTATACTGTACATTCCTTCTCTTACTGACAAACATCTATTCTATCTCTCCCTTAGTCTACTCTTCAATAACTTTTCTCTAGCTGACCTTCCTCCATTTCTCTTGTTCCCATTCTCAATATATTTCTCTCAAAAAGGAGCAGATATAAAAAATAAAAAGACAAAAAAATAAAAGCACATTAATAATAATGATAATAATAATAATAATAATATTGAGGAAACATACGAGTGCCGAGAACTAGAACATCTAAGTTTATTTGTTTTAAACTGATGTCCCAATTATAAATTTAATTGTGTGATTTATAAAAATAATAATAATAACAACACTGATAAAATTTTTATGAAGAAAAAGTATTTATAAAAGAGATGATAAAAATATTTAAATATGTCTGCACAGTTCAACCAGTACACTAGAATCCTGAGAATGACCAGCTGGAGAAAGAAAGAGAGGAAATGACAAACTATAAAATTGGTCTTTTTAATGAACTCGAAAGTTGTTGTACAGGGTCAGTGGCCAAATTTCACCAAAATTTAAAAAAAGAGAATTCTCTTATGTTGTGTAAAAAAAAGTTTGAGCTAATTCTGATGAAAATTTGATTCTTACAAATTTTTAGTTGCCCAAAAATAAAGCCAAAATTGCCAAAAACAAAAGGAGAAAAAATCTTGATTTTATAAATTTTTCTGACATGTATACATGTTCTTATGTTGTGTAGAAAGTTTGAGATTCTGATCAAAGTTAGATTTTATGACTTTCAAAGTTGTTAAAATTAAGCACTGAAAACACGAAAAGGACAAACATCTAGACATGTACATACCACTGACTGTGTGTCCTAACTTTATTGTATTGGTACCAAACACACAGCTGTATGAGAGACCAGAGGAGGTGGGGAAGGGGCAGGATGACGAGTGGTATAATGTACCTCAAGACTGATATACTTTGAGTCTCAGGAAATGTGTCAGGTAAATGAAATACAAACTTTTATTAAAACTCTAAATAGTGACTAGTGAGAGACATGGAGATAAAGGATTACATGTACATATGTATACGTGTATTTACTTTTGATGTACATTTCATATAATTCAATGTTTATCAACAAAGCTCTCATTAAACTCCTAAAATACAATAAAAACATTGCCCCGCCCAAAACGAGCCCCTCCCTTGTCATTTCTTTGTAACTTTCCCATCCGGTTAGCTTGTTCTTTGATCAATGGCAACTAAAACCAGTTCTTGTTTCTCTTCTCTGAGTCTCTCCTCTTCTCCTTTGACTATTGGTAATGTTCATTAACTATTTATGTATCATTGAATATGATTTTAGAACAACTGATTGATGTTGTTGATTTATTGGAGAGATGTGATTTCCCTCAGACAAGATGGCATGAGCTGGGACTGAAACTAGGACTACACAAGAACACACTGGACGTCATTAAAAGGGATAGTGTTACAACTTATGAGTGTCTGACAGAGTGTCTCTCCAAGTGGTTGTCCAGAGCTGATAATGTTGACGGTAAAGGTGGAGCTACCTTTGACTCACTGTCAGATGCTCTTAAATCTATGAATGAGAATGCTGCAGCTGACAAGTTAGATCAAGAGAGTAAGTTAATATCACTAATTGTATTAGCATCGACTGTGTGTGTGGTTATTCTACTCTATGTAGAGCATAAAGCTAAGGCTCTTGATATATTCAACACTCATCATCCACTCCTCTCTCAGTCTCTCTCTCTGATCCTGTCAGTGTAGCTATTATGCTTCAAAGAGAGGGTGTCATAACAGGTCAAGTATTGGCTAGTGTGGAATCAGCTAGTTCCTCTGTTCCTAATCAATGTGAAGTCCTGTTAGCTGCCATTATAGTAGCTATTCAAAGCAAGTATAGTTTACTACAAACGCGGGCATTTGCTAGATCTAGTGTGTTGTGCAAGTTCACTGGTAATGTAAAACTAGGAATAGTTTTACAAAGAGACTATGGTGAGCTATTATAATTTTCACAATGAATTTCATTTTCTTTAGATAAAACATTTAATGATGATAGTCAGTTAGTATCAGACGAAGGTACATGTTTACGAATAAAATATTAATAATCAACTTTTATTTTGATGATTATATTAGCTAACAAATCTTCTGAATCTTCTGACTCTGATTCTAATAAATCAATACCTATCAATTGTGAGTGATAGTCTATGTATAATTATTAGCCACCTTTTTCTGCAGTTGGTCCTTTTTACATTCCACAATATAAAAGCCAAGATTTTGACCAACTTTACGCAAAATTTGCTAAAATGTTTTCAAATGTTCGCAAAGTTATTTTTAAATCTCCACCTCCTTTAAAAGATCTTTTAACATTCATTGAAGATTTCAACTCTGACCTTGAAGCAGAATTGAGTGTGATTAGTGATCTTCAAGATATTATGCGTCTAATTAGAAAAAATTGTTGTCTCATTAATATTGTGATCCTTGAAGCTGTTGTTGAGCATTTTGAGATCAATGATGCTCAGACATACATTGATGATTACAAGAGGGAAATTAAGGAATTTTGTCGCAATTTATCAGTTGATCTGTGTCTGAATGAGCCGTTTGATGTAGTTAGGGCCAGCCCTCCTCTTAAATGTGAAACAGCTACTTATGTACTTGGATGGGAAGCTACTGAGCATAAGCTAAAGGATGTTACAGATATTGTATCAAAATCTTCTGGTAAATTTGTGAAGCTGATTAGCATCAAAAGCACTCAATCCATCACCATCACTTGCTCGTTCCCTCACTCTCTCACTGAAGCTCTCATTATAAAATTGAGTGAGACTCTTGAATTATTAATAAAGAATGATCTAATGAAGCTTACTGTTGGATACTGCACAATATGGAAGAAACATGAGATACATGTATGTGTATTTATACTGTCTGTAATTATCATTATAATTATACTGTATTATAAAGGAAATACAAGAATCACTGGAAGAGGAGGTACAGGAGATAAAGGAACAAGATAAAGATCATGATAAAGGTATGTGTCATCATTTCATTGACTGACTGATGTATTGTATCATTGGTTTATAGTGAATAAACCAATAGCAAATTCTGTTTTTATTGCTCGTTATGGCTATCATGCAATTGACAGTGTTGATATTTCATTCAGTGAGGAAGAGCAGCTGGAGATATATGAGAAGGAGGATAGTTTTTATTGGAAAGGAAGATCCTTGGTGTCTGGTGATGAAGGGGACATTCCTAGTAGTTGTGTTTACTCAATGTTGGAGTCACTTCAATTGTTAGAGTTTATACTATCAGTGGAAGAAGTGTCCCTTCCTATTCTACAGAAGATAAGGGATGATTCATGTAGTAATGATGAGAAAGCTTCTCTTTTCTTGGAGACTATTAATGATGATCCTATTATGATATCTGCACTGAGACAAGACAAGGAACAACATGATAAAGGTAATGTTAGTGATTATTGTGACAGTCAGTATAATTATTTATGAACATGTAATGTCATGTGTACATTTGTGATAATTGTGACATAATTTATGAACATACTATATGCAGTCATATTGTATACTGTGCATGCATGTATGTAATGTCACGTGTACATACATACTTATGATTGTATAAAAAATTAATTCATTAATGTTACTTCAAATTTTTTTGCACATACTTAATATATTATAACAAAACACACACATTCACATAATACAGTCAGTCAGTGACAACTAACATGTATATGTACTAGCCTTGCCCGTATTTATGTATATACATGTACATGTATATATATCAGTATAATCTTTATTTTGGTTTATACTAGGAGTCACTGGGAATGTGGACTGGGGCTTTGACAGGGTATCCCTTACCTCTCCATCTCCAGTTCAGTGTAATGAAGTAATAAGTAGTATTAATAATAATTTTAAGGAGATTCTCCTCCATTCTTCATCTACTAATAGTACAATAACTATACTATCATCAACTAAACCGAGTACACTAAACTTGAGGACAGTGAGGAGATTTGAGATATGGTTGACTCCATTAACTAATGATTGTATCCAGTACTTATGTATACTAATAACTAATAACAGAACAATACAAGAACTAGACATCAATGGCCACTCCATTAGTAACAGAGGAGTTACTAATATCTGTCAAGCACTCGAACAGAACTCTACACTTACCTCATTAGATCTTTATCATAATCCACTCATCACTTCTACTAGTGGACAGGCTCTTTCTCACCTCCTTCTCAATAACTCATCACTAGTTGAACTGAATCTAACAGAGACTTCATTGTCTGCTGAGTCAATACTACTTATCCTCCAGTCA